CNNGAAAAAAAAGTGTGGAAAAAAATCAAAAACACGTATTCAGTGAATACGTTTTCTTCACAAATTTAATTGAAAAACGTATTATGAAAATACGTTTTTCCCATGAAAAACGTATTTTCATAATACGTTTTTCAATTAAATTTGTGAAGAAAACGTATTCACTGAATACGAGTTTTTGATTTTTTTCCACACTATTTTTTCTTGTTTTTTTTTTGTCCAGTTACCTTAAATTTATTTTTTTTTGGTAAAAAAACCCTATCTTTTCCTGAGGTTGCTGAAAGGAAATAAGGCTTGTGGGATACAATGAATTATTGATAGAAAATAAGGCCCAAGACGTGATATTAAGGCTTGAAGGGATGGGATAGGTTGATTTACTAAATGAGGCCCTTCATATGTCCATCATGGACAAAAAATGACAATAAAAATATTGATAAGATATACCAACAGAGTGAAAAGAGTGAAAATTCAGATGAATGAAACATTAAATTTTCTTCTTACTCACATAGAACCAAAACAATTTAGGCTCATACAATGTTGCTATAAAACCAACTGGTTGGTTCCCTTATGGAACCAACACCCAATTAGACAGCTCCATGTGGGACAGCCCCACATGGAGCAAAATCATTGGGTGTTGGTTCCATAAGGGAACCAACCAGTTGGTTTTATAGCAACATTGTAGGCCCATATCATGTTCTGATCCATAACGTCAACAATGACGACAAGCTTGTTGTAGTTGATGAAGATTACCCTTCCGATCTCAACGTACGTCTTGAACGGCTATAATAAAAAGATTTCAAAAACAAAGTTCAAAATCCAGAAATAAAAAGAGAGGAACATTTTCTGGTAAATACTCAACATTCAAGGGCATTTTTGTCATTTATTAAGGCATTTTAGGGACACAATTGTAATTTTAAACTATGCACATGTGAAATAAAAAAAAAAAAAAATCCATGTTCCAGGCGGGACAAATATAATTGGCCAATACGTGATTGTGGGTGGGCCACCACAGGCCACGTGGGATTTAGCCTAAAAACTATCAAGAATAATAAACAATGGATAGGTGGGATATCTAACATTATCTTATCCTATCCTGCCTAATAAAAGAGCCCTTATGGATTTGTTCTTTCTTTCTCATTGATTTTTTCATGTATTTATTTATTTGCCCTTGCATCTTCACATACATGTCGAGTTCCTCTATCCTATATAGTTGATCTGATTCTTCTTCATTTGCATGTGAATTTGATAAGAGTTGGAGAGAGCAGGCTGGAGAGTTGGGAGCAGCAAAAAAAGAAAAAGGGTCATGGGTGATGTGGATTTTGGCTTAATTTTATTGTAAAAGATATTATCTAGCCATCTGATCTGATTAGTAATGGCGATTCCAAGAAATATTATCAAATTTCAATCAGATTGAATTCATGGTATTGCCTTTTTGTATTGTATCAGATTGGATTCACTTCCGTTCAATGTCAACCATTGTTACTTCCGTTAAATGTCGACCCTTGTTCTCATGCATTGTTTTTTCTATCACTAGTACGTACCCGTGCGATGCACGGGACAAAGATATTAAATGAGTTATTTTCACACCCTTGTCCGTTTAAGTCTAAAAAATAATAGGATTATTATCTATTTTCTACCTCTTTTAATCAACGTTAAGTCTAAAAAAACAATAGGATTATTATAAGTTTTTTTCCACATCTTTTAGCGTTGTTGTTTTTTTTTTTTTTAGCCAAAACATTAAATATGAGCATGTTAAGGGTAGTTGGTAATTAATATATTATCTCACTAAAATATTTATACTAATAAAAATTTAATTTTAGCATATAAATTTATCTCTTGATATAAGAGAAAGTAACAGTTTTATTTATTGTTGTTCAGTATATAATATTTAATTATTATTTTATTATATAAGAAAAATGAATATTGTTAAATAGTTAGTAGAATTGTTATAAAATTATATGAATTATTTTTTTTACAATATGGATTTAATATCTTTAAAAGATTTGATAATATAACTATAATATATTCTTAATGATATAATAATATGAGATACGAATTTACATAATACTATGAATTTATTCCTTAATGTTAAGATATTGAATTCGGTAATATATGATTCACTAATTTGTAATATGTCTCTTTTTATATTGAAAATAATCATGTGATTGAGTAGAGATAACAATTATCTATAAATTCTTTCATTTAAAGAATAATTTTAAATTGGTCCAAGTGTTGAATGCAGTCCGATTTTCTTGTAACTAAAATGAGAAGAGATTTTGAATTTCAAAATTTCACTTCAAAACCACACGTATGTTTGGATGCAGATTTTATTAAAAATAAAATGAGAAGAGATTTTGAATTTCATATTCACTTTAATATCTGTCGAAATTTTCAAAAATGAATTCAACAAAACCCATAATTTTAGGGGCATTTAATGCTACCCTTTTTATGATTTAAAATATCTAAAATTTTCTAAATATGGTGTGCAATTAATTATTTTAAAAGATGAACCGCTTTTGTTACCAAAAAACGTGGACACAATTTTTAATGTACATCCCGTCCAAATATCAGTTTTATTTTAAAATAAAAATTGCACGTGGTTTTAACCAATTTACACAATTTTTTTTTTAAAAAAAAATTATTCATTAAGATTGGAAGAATTAGTTAGAAATTATGCAACTATTTGTTTCGTAAATTTGTATCCAATTTGCACGGTTTTTAAATTGATTTGGATTTAGAATTGTTTTCATAAATAATTGACACATTTTTTGCATATGAATCTCTAAATTTGTTACCAAAAAAGATATGATTTAAATTTTGGTAAAAAAAATAAAATATGATACTAAAAAAATGGGATTCAAATTTTGTCATAAGAATCTCCAAATTTGTTACCGAAAAAATAGGATTCAGATTTTGTTTCTAAAGATTTACATGTGTTTTTTCGAACTTTCCATTAATAGTAAGTCAAACATTATATTTATTTGGTCAAACTTTCTATTAATATATTTTTCCAACAACCTCTTTATATATACTAGTACAGTACCCGTGCGATGCACGGGATGATATATTTTCCTGAAATGTTTAACGTGTGAAATATTAAAAATAATATAATTTATATATATGTAATAAAAATAAATGGATTGCAAAGAAGGAAAAAAAATATAAATTATTGAACACTTTCTTTGTGAAGTAAAATTTGTGAAGGTTTGGTATATTTGATTATGAATAGAAAATTATGAAATACTACCTGCGGACCGTTGAGATAGATGAGAAGATTTACTTAGAATATATAGAATAAATATTGAGATAATGATTTACCTTTTACCTAGTATAGATAAAATAAATATTGACATGATGTGGGAAAATTATGACGAATTATGACATAAATTCGTTTAGAAAATATTCAAAAATTAGATTTATTTTTTATTTTTTAAATCTTTACAGTAATTCGTACGTTCCTTTTCATACGCTTAATTTATCAATTTTACACATACAAATCAAAATTAATGCAACTCGAAATATTATATAACAAATAAAATGAGATTTTTATCTAACATTTAGTATATTGCCGGAAAATTTTTTATAAATCTTATTCTCTTTTTATGCACATAGATATTAAAGAATGAGTAAAAAAAATATCTAAATATGTTTAAAAGTATCTAATATTATATGTGTTAACAGTGTTACAACCAAAAGACATTAAGAATACGCAGACTATTATATAACATATGTGAAAGTATTAAAATATTTTATATTATTATTGAAAAATGTGAAATTACCTCAATTTTGTCTAGACTATTTTATAAGAAAAATATATATACTTAAAGTTAGCACACACATATATATATATCCTTAAAATTTGCCCAACTAACATGTTTAAAAGTATATAAAATTTTATATATAAAATACGTTTAAAGTTTACATATTTTACAAAAATTAGACTGCTCTCAGTTTATATAAAGTTTGTTGCTCTCATATTCGGATAATGTATTATGCATTTAATGAAAGCACCTACGATACAAATTTATAAATATTAATTAAAATAATTTTCTAAATTATATAAAATTGAAATAACAAAGGTAAATATTACCTGTTCATCGTGAAAATGCGTTACAGCTCTCCCGTTCGTGATGGGTTTCAATAATGCGGACTGCTCTCAGACACAAAAAAGGTTTGTTATAAATATTAATTAAAATAATTTTCTAAATTATATAAAATTGAAATAACAAAGGTAAATATTACATGTTCATCATGAAAATGCGTTACAGCTCTCCCGTTCGTGATGAGTTTCAATAATGCCGACTGCTCTCCCGTTCGTGATGGGTTTCAATAATGCGGACTGCTATCAGACGCAAAAAAAGGTTTGTTATAAATATTAATTAAAATAATTTTCTAAATTATATAAAATTGAAATAACAAAGGTAAATATTACCTGTTCAAAAGGTTTGTTATAAATATTAATTAAAATAATTTTCTAAATTATATAAAATTGAAATAACAAAGGTAAATATTACCTGTTCATCATGAAAATGCGTTATTGGGTTTCAATAATGCGGACTGCTCTCAGACGAAAAAAAAGTTTGTTTCTTTTGTTAACGTACCCCAGTCTGGAAGCATTATATATCAAGTGTACCCCAGCCTGCTATAAGTTTCAATAATGCGGACTGCTCTCAGACGCAAAAAAGGTTTGTTATAAATATTAATTAAAATAATTTTCTAAATTATATAAAATTGAAATAACAAAGGTAAATATTACATTTCATCATGAAAATGCGTTACAACTCTCCTGTTCGTGATGGTTTCAATAATGCTTTGTTATAAATATTAATTAAAATAATTTTCTAAATTATATAAAATTGGAATAACAAAGGTAAATATTACCTGTTCATCATGAAAATGCGTTACAACTCTCCTGTTCGTGATGGTTTCAATAATGCGGACTGCTCTCTGCCGTTCGTGATGGGTTTCAATAATGCGGACTGCTGTCAGACGCAAAAAATGTTTGTTATAAATATTAATTAAAATAATTTTCTAAATTATATAAAATTGAAATAAAAAAGGTAAATATTACCTGTTCATCGTGAAAATGCGTTATAGCTCTCCCGTTCGTGATGGGTTTCAATAATGCGGACTGCTCTCAGACGCAAAAAAAGGTTTGTTTTTTTGTTAACGTACCCAGTCTGGAAGCATTATATATCAAGTTTACCCCAGCCTGGAAGCATTATATTGTGTATGCGATGAAAAATTATTCTCTGTATTTTTTTTTTCTCTGAACTCGTGAATGATGAGTTGTAATGGTGGTAGTGAATATCCTTTTATACAATTTTTTATTAACAAAAGTGATAAGATAATTATGGATTGTATTTGGATAGATTTTAAATACCATGATTTTTGGAATGCAACAACAAAATATGCAATCACATGTATATATCTTATCACGTTAAAGGTATATCCATCCCTAAAAAACAGGAAAAAAAAACATATATTTTGAAAGGATTTTTAAATTAGTTTCTACAAATGGAAAGTCAATGGGGTTGTTGACCAATTTTTTAAAAGTTTCCACAAATGATTTATTGACCTCTCTTTTTCAATATATATAGATATAGATTCGCTATCTTGCCTGGTAATTGGTATTATTAGTACGTAATTTCTGTTGGAAGGTAAAAATATTCCATATAGTTAAAACTCCGTTTCTGACCCCATCCAAAGGTTTTATAGGGATGGAGAGAGTATTCCCAATTATGGGTTTTCCCATAAGACTTTATTTTTATGTTTTTTTTATTTTTTTGAAAACGATAAAATTTGTTCCAACAATAAAAAATTTAGATTTACCGAATAACACCCGAAACAAGTGGAATAACTGGGAGAACTACCCACCTGATAGCTTAGAAACTACAACTAAAAGCAAGACACAACGTAATAACAAGTAGTTACTCGACGGTTGATTGAATATGAATTTGATTTGGTCTTGATTGGTTATCTTATTAATTATAGATAATTTTAAAACTTAATGTATGATTAGTTGTTAGTTGAATTTTGAATTTATATTAATATAATATTTAAAATAAAATAATTAAAGTTGATTTAATACAAAAGTATAAGAAAGATAATATGAAGCACTGTATTAAAAATCGGCCTCGACGGCTGCCTAAGCGCTAGGCGTCACTTGGCCGCCTCTAATTTGCATGAGTCGACTGGAAAAATCGACTTGGCAGTTTGGTGGTGCCTTGGCGCTCCTTGGCGGGCTAGGTGGCGCCTAGGCGGGCTTGATGAAAAATTTTCAATTTTTTATTTATATTTTTAAAATAATAATTACATTTTTCGTTATCATGTTTTCTTTATAATATATTACTATTATTATTTGGACATAGAAGTGTTTATTTATTATAAATTGAGATAATTTTATTTTGTAGGTAGTGAAAATAAATAAAAAATAAGGTATTTAATCTTGATTTCTAAGCCCCGCCTAGGCGCTTTAGGCGCTAGTTGCTGGTCGAGCACCTAGTGGCGCCTACCAACTTGTAGAACACTAATGTAAACTGACAGTTAGTTAAAATTATGTGAGTAGATGAATAATAAATTAAAGTTGATGTGATGTGTAAGAACGGTTGATTTTGTAAACTTTGCGAAAAAAAAATATCGCGTAACATAAAATATGCGATGTTAGATTTGGATATTCAATTCTTGAATATGCAAAATGTTATCGCATATGGTAAATTATGCAGTGGATTTAGGTATACGAGTCGTAAACTATGCAAAAATAGGTCGCATAATCATAAAATACGCGACGTTCGATTTAGATATGTGATTCTCGAATATGCGAAATGTTATCGCATATGGTAAATTAAGCGGTAGATTTGGATATGTGATTTGTAAACAATGCGAAAATATATCGCATAGAGACGTTCGATTTGGATATGCGATTCATGAATATGCAAAATATTATCGCATATGGTAAATTATGCGGTGAGTTTGGATATGCGAGACGTAAACTAGCATACTCATAAAATATGCAACGTTCGATTTGGATACACGATTACATAATATGTTTATATGTTTCGCATAGTTGTTAACTATGAATCTAATTTGGATATGCGAGACGTAAAATATGCGAAAATGTGCCGCATAATCATAAAATATGCTGTTATCAATGTGAATATGCGATAACTATATATGCAAAATAAATTCGCATAATAAAAATTATGTTGTGGATTTGTATATGAGATTATTAAATATGCGAACATATCGTATTGTTAACTATGCGTCTTGTTTAGATATGCGCTTGTATATATACGACAAAATCTCGCATAATTATTATTTATGCGGTTCAGTTGAATAAACGATTTTAATATCTAATATAATTTCGTGATTTGTGAGGTGAAGAACAAGTTCGTTGATGAGACAGTAAGTAAAATAAAGTTCATCTATATGTTGTGGCGTAAAAAATACTAGTACAAATACCTGTGTCCTACACGGGTGTTGAGTTAAAAAATATATTATAATAGTTATTGCTAAAATAATAAATTTTATTTAATTTGATGGACTAATTAATAAAAAAAAAAGGAATAGGTAGTGTAGAAAGTAATTTGTAAATCGTAATTTAGGAAAAAAATATGAAAAAAAAGTTATAAGATAGTAAGATTGTTACTTGCCAAAATTAAGAAGGAAATTTGTACTAAGAAAAAAATAATAATAAAAGTAAATGTACACTTACCAAGTTTGAAAAAAATTATTTATGTTTATACCAAGCCTAATTACAAAACAGATATAAACAACATTTCGAAACATAAATTTTTACCCCATTCAAGACGCGTGAGTCTGCCACTAAGCCTCAACACATCTTCAATTAATATACTACCTCCTTTTTAAATTAGATGTATATGTCTAGATACGTAGTAAAATGGATGAATCAAAAAAGTAAAAACGATATCTAATTTAAAAAGGAGGGAGTATAAGCCAGGGATTAGCCGTTTGAATAATGTGGCATAGAGAAGTAAAAAAAAGTTTACATGGAGGAAGGTTCTGCTGCACCCGTTTCGATGTCTGCCTTGAACAAGTATATCCATACAGTCTCCACCGCCAAAATAAAGAAACCCAAGTATACATACATTAACAATACCAATACCGCTACAGCCCCCGTCAATTTACACCGCATGAAGTAACTCTCTGATGTGGCTTTTAACACGTGTCAGTATAAGTCATCAAAATTTTCCTTATTATTCTACCTAGGTAATTAGAAAGATGTGATATTCCTGGCCAAATGTGTTCTTAAATCTTCCCTAATTATTTTCTACTCCAAATCTCAACGCAGACCTCACACACTTTTTGCATCGAGCTCATTCTCATCTCCCTGCCATGGTCGCCAACGGGACCAAACCTAGCGGCCCCGAACATCCCTTCAAAGCTCGAACCTGAAAAAACCATTAAGGAGATCTATCAGAAGCGCACGCAGCACCACCACATCCTCCTCCAGCCCGACACCTACATCGGGTCCGTCGTCAAGAGCAAACAGAGCCTCTGGGTTTTCGAGGGAGGCAAAATGGTAAATCGGGAATTACGTGCAGCAATTACGTCGACCCATTGGTCGGAGTTGAAATTTTCATTGCAACTCGCGCAGGTAAAACTACGGTGTTCAATTTGGTATCCCTAGGGCAATAAATTTGAGGAAGAATGTGATACTGAGGCTGGGAAATCAGGCCCGCAAAAGAAGTCGACAAAAAAACCGAGGAAAAACGATGGCTATGAACGGAGAACGGGAAATTGGTAGCCGGAAAATATCGTTAAGGCTGGGATAGAAAACTTGGGGAAGAACAAAATAATAGGAGAGAGATACGGTTGGCTTTCTCTCGGAACCATTTCCCCCTTTTTTTTATAATGTAAAATAAGTATTGATTGTGAAATAAGAGTTGATGTACATCTGTTGACGTGGATATAACACGTCAGGGAGTAGTGTGAAAAGTGGGAAATAGACGGGGGAAGGGGCAATTTTGATACACTAAATAGAGGACAGAAAAGTGATATAAATTAATAAATACAGGGGCAGAAGGGTCGTTCAAGTCAAGTCAGCAAATTAACAAACAATGGCGAAAAGACCCCGGACCTCCTCTGCAAACACCCCCAAGAGTCGTCAGCCCAATTCTGCCGCTCCTACTCAGCCACCAAAGTCCCGGAAAGGCTGTGAAGTCAGTGAGCCATCGGATGACGAGGAAGGTGAGGAAATAGTGACGAACTTGACCTCTCCAAGTGCAGTGCACAGTGAGAACGTAGTACCGAGTTCTTTTTCAGTCACCCTAACCGATCCGGAAGTTTTAGATTGTCCCATTTGCATGGAACCTTTAAGCCCTCCAGTCTATCAGGTACTACTTACTTAATTCCTTTTATCCTTTTAACCTTTTAAGCCCTCCAGTATATATTTGTTTTGAAAAAATCTAGTTAATCCCTGAATCTGAATACATGCATGTAGTGCGAGAACGGGCACGTGTCGTGCGGGACATGTTGCCTCGGAGCGCGTAACAACTGCGGCAGCTGCGGCTGCCCCATTGGCACCAAGAGAAACCGAGCTCTGGAGAGGGTTCTCGATTCCATGCGTGTCCCGTGCCCTAATGCCTTGTACGGGTGCACGCAGTTCTCCAGCTTCAGCAACAAGCTCCAACATGAAAAAACGTGCCGACACTCTCCTTGCTCTTGCCCTTACCCCAATTGCTCCTACACCGGCCTCCCCTCCTCAGTCTACTCCCATTTTGCTGCCACCCACTCTGCCTCCTCTCAGGATTTCATCTTCAACTATGAGATTCCTGTTTCTTTGGAAACCGATCAGAGGCACGTTTTCTTACAAGAGGTAACAGAGGACACGCTTTTTGTCCTCAGCCGCAAGGCCAACCGCCTCGGGAGCACGGTTGCTGTGGAGTGCATTGGGCCCATCTCTTCCGAGAGGAAATTTGTGTACGAGGTTGTGGCGGCGGACGGTCTGGGTTTTGTGAAGCTGAGGGCTGTGGCTGAGACGAGAGCGGTTTGGCTCGGGGGGCAGCAGCCTGGCGACAAGTATCTTGTCGTGCCCAATGAATTTGTGGGTGCTGATGGGAAGCTGAATCTGGAGGTTATTATTAAGAGAGATCGGGGACTGAGGTCCGCCAGGGCACGCAAGTAGCTAGCTAGTTGCAGTTGGGATGGATGACTTTTGTGCTTGTAGTGCTTCTTTCCTTTCCTTGTATATACGCTGCCTTTATTTTGAATGTTATCTGTCATGTAAGCTCATGTTCTCTCTATTTCCCTTTGTCACCAACATTAAATTCCAGTGTTTTGAATGTTCTCTATCATGTTCTATTTCTTTTTGCCCAAATAGTGTGTAATTGGATATGGATTTAATTTGGTTTATGATTTTTTTTTGGTCACCAACATTAAATTCCAGTGTTTTGAATGTTCTCTATCATGTTCTATTTCTTTTTGCCCAAATAGTGTGGAATTGGATATGGATTTAATTTGGTTTATGATTTTTTTTTGGTCACCAACATTAAATTCCAGTGTTTTGAATGTTCTCTATCATGTTCTATTTCTTTTTGCCCAAATAGTGTGTAATTGGATATGGATTTAATTTGGTTTATGATTTTTTTTTGGTCACCAACATTAAATTCCAGTGTTTTGAATGTTCTCTATCATGTTCTATTTCTTTTTGCCCAAATAGTGTGGAATTGGATATGGATTTAATTTGGTTTATGATTTTTTTTTTTTGTTAACTATTTTTAAATTTCAAAAAATGTGATGTGATTAATTATTATTGAAATTTTGAATTTATATAGAGAGAAAGTATGTGATACGATGATTTGCTTAAAAATATTATGCAAATGAAAGAGCGAATTAAAATCAATATATTGTGTAAGATTGATTGATTGAGTGATATTATACAATAATATTAGTAATTAGTAAATATTCGTATATATGCGAGTACTTGTAAAAAATTATATTAAAAATTAAAAATAATAAAATAATTGTTATAGTTTTTAAATATTTTTTCTGAGTAACTATATTATTATTTATATTTAAAATATTTGACATCACTTAAACGCCTCATCATTTTATATTGTAATAACTTTTTAAAATTATGTCATTTAGGGCATCTTTAGTAAGAGCTTTTGTGGAGGGTTACAAACTGTTACATAAGTGTAAGGTTTATACATTCAAAACAAATGTAAACCTCTCTCTCTTTTTTTCTTTTTTTCTTTTTTTTTTTTTTTCAGAAACGCTTCCCTAATCTTCTTTGCATTATAAAAAATTCCAGCTATCTTCTAGAGTTGTCAATACTCTTGTACTTTTACAATTGTGCAAATTTCCTTCTTGGTGAATGGATAGTGTTAAGTGAATGCAACTTCAAGGGGTGTCTGTATATTCAAGGATTATATTTTTAATTCTGAAAAAAACACATGTTTTTTTCTTAAATCATGTCAAACTTCAGTAGTAATTTTTGTAACTATGCGAATTGTTTTTCCACAGATAACTTATACCTCACCTAATGAGGACGAGCTTGTAGCCATGGCAAATGCCCTTTCTTCTCGAAATAATTTCTTACCAATTCAAAGAGATTCAAATAGTTTTAACTCATTCTTGTACCATAAATATTTTCAATTTTATTTTGACAGAAATAACATACTTTTACTTCTATCTTGTTTGATGAATGTTTATTGGGATTCGTTCTACTTCGAAAAAAAGTCTCATTTTCACTTGTTTATTTTTTACAACACATCTAATTCGTTCTTATAATACTAAAAAAATTTCAGTTTTGTTTTAACTAAAATACCATACATATTATTGGAGGGTACATACTCAAATTTTAGTTTTCAACATTATGTAAATTTTATGTTTTGTAATTTTTTTAAGTAAAATTTCACATTGGTACATAGTTAACAATTTATAATTACATATAATTATATTATTTATTTATACGTATTATGATGAATATATGTAACATTTAATTTGAATAAGAATAAAAATAAAAGGTTGAGTAATAGTTTATAGAAGTGTAATATTAATTAAAAATAAGTGACAAACATTTGAGACTCATAAAAAGGAAGTTAATGAGTTTATTGTTATTAGAGCTTTATGAGTGTAGGAGTAAGGATGAAGTTTTGAATGATGTGACATGTTGGGAAGTGTAAAAAGAGGTTTATGGGACTTTGTTGATTAAGATGCTCTTAACAACTTTGTAGTTTAATTGATTTAAATATTTTTATATTTTTAATTAATATTAATAAGTAATTTATTTTTTATTATAAAGATATAGATGTCAAATCGAAGTTCATCAAGACATAATTAATTTGATATTATGTATGAAAAATTAATAATAAATAAAACATCATAAAAGATCCATTAATTAAAACTTAGACGCTATGTTTTTAAAAGATCCATTAATTTATAATCACCATTTATTCCTAAAAAAATTTGTATTACATGGTAATTAAATACGGACATGAGAAAGCAAAAGGAGAACTAAAAGGCATTATATACAGAAGATATATTGAATATATTGTCATTATATACAGAAAATATACATAAGATAAATCAATCTAGTCGTTATATACAGAACATATATTGAAAATACATTATATACATCAGAGTTGTCGAGTTTGGCCATAACACTAGATCCAGGCGTCGGATTGTTTATAGAAAACTCTTTAAGGAAAAAAACACTCTAACAACTCCTAATCCACGCACCCCTCGTCTCCACTATCGACCGTCGGAAGTCGACGTCCGGTCTCAGAGATTAGATCAACATCGCATGAAATCTGGATCTGACACCAACTTCTGCGATGGAGAATTGTCTGACGGCAACGGGGAGATGGTGGAGAACGACGACGGCTAGTCCACCATCAGCACGCTCGAGGAGCCGACGGTGAAGAATAACTTGGCGAAGAAGCAGAGTTTTTTCAACAACGAAAAATCGAGGAGGCGCAGCGCTGACCCGTACATAAACACCGTGGGGGTGGGGGGGGGAGACTCTTGATTTTCTCCAATTCTCGAACAAGAACGGTCGAAGTCGGAGAGGAAAAGCGTCGTCTTCATTCCTCTTGCCGACGAAGAACGGCGTTTTGGATTATGCGGCGAATTGGAATTGGAGTTACTCTGTTTTTCTCGTTGGTTGATTGCAGAGAAAGTATCAGTCTATAAAAAAACTATCTAAAATAGCTTTCTTTATATATAGTTTATAAACAAATAAAATTGAGATTTATGGTAATTTTATTAATAAAATAATAGTTTCATATACATGCAATAAAGTTCTGTTGGATCGTTCAAGGAATAATTATCTCGCTAATATTTAAAATAGATGTTTAATTGTGTAATAAAAACTAAAATGTATGGTGTATGTGTAATTTTCTTTTGAATAGATTAATAGATTCTTCATGGGCCTTATAGGCCTGTGATATATGGGCCTTGATATTCTTAGCAGTAACTTAAAATCCTACCCAAATTACTACTTAGGCTATATTTGGTAGACAAATAAACTAGCTTATAACTTATTTAGTTAATTTATACGTTTCATGTATTTAAATAAACTTTATTTGGTATGACAATTTTTTTTTAAAAAGCTCGAGCTTATCGCATAAGCTTCTTTGAGTAGATATTCAAATAAATTCATTGAAATTTTTATTTCAGCTAATTTATCAGCTAATTTTACCAAATACTTTTATCATATAAGCTAGCCTATAAGTCATAAGCTATAAGCTCGAAAATTACTGATAAGTTATAAGCTAGCTTATCAGCCTTAATAATTTTCAGGAATGATGTACAAAATAACCCTAGTGAATGTACTTTTTCAAACTCTTCAACACTATCCATTTCCCGACAAGATAAAAAAGCTTCATTACCTTCGAAAGTGCAGATAAATCAAACACAAGAAATACCAAATACTTTGTCCAAGTAATAAAAATCGCGCTTAGAGATCATTTTAACTTAAAAGCATAAACTTTATCGTACTAGTAAAAAAGAATCAAACAAACTTCAAAAAACTCGGATTACAAGCATCTCCAGCATCCGTGAATGGAACAAGACATTCAATGTAAGGAAAAGCTTGACGAGAGTGGCATCCACGAAAAAACATGACATTCCCATCCACTCTACACACCTCCTCCAAACTATAATCCTTGTCCAGCTTGCATCTGAGGATAACAAGAGAGCTGCCAATGTAGATTACATTCGAGTATGGATCAAAAGCAACCGGCTCAATCCAATGACAACCATCAGGGGCATCTGCGTTGTTAAGCAAAATACCACTGGTCAAATCATAAATATTAATTCTGTGCTTCAAATCCCAACTCTGTACATCATTGTCGAGCGACCATACGTATAACACATTGCATGATTCATTCGCGTACATAAACCGATCCATTTGTACCCCAATGCATCCCATCAAGCCATTGCACTCTCTATAACTCAAAGGAAGTCCAGTCACGCTAATACTCACACTCTTCAGATCAAACCGTATGAGGTTCCACGTATCAGATAATCGAAATAAATCCCCATTAAAGTACACCGAGGGACTCAACGGTATATCACCGCGCAAGCGTGGGTCCACCTTCAGTGTGTGTCTAACCCAACACCTGTCAGACGAATAGTATATGCCTACATGAAAATCAGCTCGGTACAGAGAGCAGTCCATCCGTATAACTTTGTAGCTAGTTGACCCATGAGAGGGATCGAATGCAAGTGCACAGCAACAATATGTTAGCATCAAAAATGGAGGACTAGGGATTGACACAGATTTCCTGGTCAATAGGTTGCAAACATAATATAGACCGGATTGTATGCCCAAAAATAAGAGCAGGCCATTACAACAATCGAGAAGATCAACGGCAACTGGTCTAAATGGCAACCGAAAAATGCTAAACCAGCGGTCATCCCAACGTAATAAGGGGTGAACTTTCTCATCACCTTCTTCTGGAGGTAGATAGTTACCATTCATTCTTCCCTAGGAGACTTGTGTGGGCAGGCCATCCATAGCAAAATAGGAATAACCACCCGAATAGCTTGTTAGAACAAACAGCCCATCTACAGGCTTTATACCCCGCCAAACACACATTCGAGAAATCGACAAGTGCCAGTGTTTGGATAAGACTTTGAGGCGGACAAGAGACTTATCCGGGAGCCTAAGGAAGATGTCAGACAAGATGTCATCTGGTAAACTCCTTGTCATTGTGTAGTAGGCGTGGATTGTAGATCTTCTTTGTTACCTAATTCGAGATAAAAGAACAAACTTTACCAACTTGTACTGGACAGAAAACAAAAACTTATACATCCTTCTTATTCTACAACCATTTGAATTTCAATAATAACGGAATAGCTTACCTGAATAAAGATTCGTGATTTATCACAGGGAGGAAACTAAGAATCGATTGCAAAAATTCATCAGGAATTAAATTTGTGTACGTAAAGACTGAATTGATTATGCTGAATACAGAAAATTAATATAGATCAAAACACTGAGCACAAATACCTGATAATTAGTTCCCCAATTTTTAGTTGTTTGATGGGTTTCAGCGGAATGAATAATGATGCCACAATATTTGTTTTTGTTGTAAATTGGGATCCTCAAGCATTCATCAATCCACACAAGTAAAGAGAAACGAGCGAGAGAACAAGAGACAGAAGAGCAGAAAAGTCTATAATTTTATTCATCCTATATCACCCTTTTATAGGGTTTACAAGTGAGAAGCCCTAAAACCTAATTTCCCTAACTAATGGACTTCAGGCCCAATTATCAGTTAGTAATGTCCATATACATATATTTATAACACTCCCCCTTGGACATTACTACATCATGTCCATGTCTCGTTAAAAACCTCGCTACAAAACCCAGTGGGAAAAAATAGTCGAGGAAAAGAGTACATGACGTATGCATATTTATGTGTTACACTTGTTGCCTCATTAAAAACCTTACTAAGTAAAACCCAATGGGAAAAAACATAGCTAAGGGAAAAAGAGTACAACCCCGGTGTTACACTTGTTGCCTCATTAAAAACCTTACTAAGTAAAACCCAATGGGAGAAAACATAGCTAAGGGAAAAAGAGTACAACCCCGGCCAACAGGACCTAATCTTCAAGATTACAATTAGCCTTCCGGGCTCGATCTTCAGGATTTATTTATCGCTCCCCCTGAAGGCAAGAGCATTTCAAGTTACATTTATAAATGTTTGTTGCTCCCCCTCAAGGTAAGAGTATCTACATAAAATCGTCATTGGTTGCTCTTCCGGAGTTAATATGGATTCAAAAATATCATCCAATGTATTTCCATAATTTATTTGTGTAACATAAACGGAGTTATCTTCAAGATAAATATGGGGAAATTTAAATAACCAATGGTAAAGAGTTAATACCATTTAAGAGGTCTATAACCAATCGAGGACCCAGTACTTCGGGGATCAATTATACAGTTTATGTCTTTATCCACCAATATCATTATCAAGTCCAAAGATAACTCAACATACATGAAAGCATAATGGGATATTCTCAAATTTATCACGACATCTCTCTACGGAGAGAAATAGTAAATCTTGCTAGCAAATTCATCGCAAATGCAGTATCAGGCCTGATGCAGTTTGCGTGATAAAAGTTTAGCACAATTGCGCGTAGTAAATAAACTTCAGGTCATTTGTGGACTTCAAGTCATTCGGAACTTCAGGTCCTATAATATCCTCATTTGTTTCTTTGGATGTTTATAAATCTTTGTCAAATTCTAAATATTTGACACTCATCGGTGTTATAATTTTACATCTCTATAAAAAGATTCAAGTAGATTGATTGGGTAAAAAATACTCCTTCTAGGAGATGCTCGATCTACAAGTCGAGTTAATACTCTTTGGTATTTAACCAAGAGTTTCATTCTAACTCCGTCTATAAGCATGAGCTAACTTATTTAATCTTTTACATAGTGTTCACCACTTAATCTATTTGACCGAGATGATCATTTTGTATATTACCAGTAATATACACAAGGCTCTACCTTGAATTTCTTACTTTACTTCTTCAGGAAGAATTTAGTTGGTTGTACCACATCTTACCAACAACTTCAAATAATTAAACTATTTAATTATCGTTCATCTCGGGTACTCGAGCCCATCCAGGACTTTTCACATATGACTCGGTAGTCATGTTAATGATGCTGCCATAAATATTAACTTGCGGAATCATTGCTAATGAGAGAACTTATAAATATTTGGGTCTCTGCATAAACCCATGAGCATAATCTCGCTATATTTACACCACCACATCACATGTTTCATATAAATATTCATTATCCTTTTGGGATATGCTATCCTCCTGGGATATACCGTGTAGCGAGTGAAAGCTCTGCCTCAATTTTCCTTTCTATCTCAATAAACCTAAGTGCTTCTAGCACTTTAATTCTTTTGATCCGGATCAGTATTTGAGATAGTAAAGAAATCAACAGGCAAGTATGTTGTCGACAACTATTATATTCAATTGATATTTTTCTCTCAACCGTTTGCTAGCCATATTTATAATCATTTCCCGTAACATCTAATTTTGGCTGTTCCGCATTTCCAGTACTACAATAGTTTGATGCACGTGCAAGATGTACTGGATCAACTCTTCCGGAGTTTATTATAAAGGAGTGTTAATTCTTGAATATACATTTTCCGCGGACTTTCATATATCATATCACCTTATGCTTCAAGCATTAAGGAGTCAATCATTCCCTAGGGAATTTGCTTACTCTGTGGTACATCTATATATTTACAAATAGGTCACTCCATTATAACTACAGATTTCGCTTGGCAGAAATATAATATGAACTTCAAGTTCAATTTTTATTGCGTGGTTTGAAATAATGAAAACATTAATATTTCACATATTTCGCGGCATTAATAAACTCATGCTCATATCTCCCCCTAATGCCGTGAAATTATCTTCATATATTATGCAAAAAAACGTACCAAGGAATAAACTGATCCCCTATAATGGCCTCTAGGTATTAAAAATTCGACGGAGTATAAAAATCATAGCATACCTAGTCTGTAATATAGGCCCGTAAAGGTACGAATTGGTGGTGATATAAAATGGTGCATAATAATAATAAATTGCAGATGGGAAATGTTCAATTCTCCATGCATTTTAGGGGAAAATTATCATAAATAATTGCCCAATGTGATCCAACTGCTCATGCTAATTATATAAGTTGGGCATGGAAGTATAATAATTCATTTCTAAGTGAACACTATATGCTTCAGGCACTAAAAAAAATTATGTGCTTCGGGCACTATATATAAATTTATTATTGTAGCTGTCAACAATATAAGTCAATGATATGCATCTTACCAAACATAAAAGCAAACATAAATAATCATAAAGTCTCAATGAAAACATAGGATAAAAAGCAAAAACAAACCACAAATGTCTAATAGAAAAAAAAACAGAAATGTCTAATAGCATGAAAATAGACCATCAATAAAATATCCAGTTCTAATATAGAATGCATATTAATCACACATTATCACCGTAGTCCTCGAGCTCGAGCTGCAATAAATCATCATCATCATCATTGATGGCTAAATTTGCTTCAGGCAAACTAGCATGATGTGATTCACCTTGAGGAGCCTTTCCTTTCTTATCCTTGAGCATTCTTTGATAAGCCTCGACTAGGTGCCGTGGAGTACGACATGTACGGGACCAATGATTGTCGCACCCACATCTAAAGCAAACCTGCTTTTGCTCTTTAGGTTGTGGATGTGAATCGCGTCGATTTGAACGATCCGCATCAATGTTTAAGTTCTCTCTATGACCTCCCGGGACGTTATCACCATGATCTCGCCCTCCATCACGAGTCCAAACACGGCCACGACCACGTCCACGACCACGACCGTGACCACGTCCACCACGGGGTGCCTGGGTATGGTATCCTCGACCTTTCCCTCGCACATTATGATGTCCGTGAGTAGTCGCATGTGCTTCAGGCACAACTTGAGTTCCAACCGGCCTAGCATTATGATTTTTCATCAATAATTGATCGTGTTTTTCGGCCACAAGCAAGGCCGAAATCAGCTCAGAATGCGTTGCATAGTTCTTAGCCCTGTACTGCTGCTGGAGTACAAGGTTGTTAGCATGAAAAGTGGATAAAGTCTTTTCAAGCAACTCAGTCTCGGTAATGTTCTGCTTACAGAGTTTAAGCTGTGAAACAATGCGGTGTAGAGCTGAATTATACTCAGTGACGGATTTGAAATCCTGAAAGCGAAGGTTAAGCCAGTCATATTGTGCTTGAGGGAGGATTATTGCTCTTTGTTGGTCAAAACGATCCTTCAGGGATTTCCAAAGATTGGCGGGCTCTTTTTCTGTAAGGTATTCATTTTTCAGATCTTTATTAAGATGGTGACGGAGGAAAATCAATGCCTTCGCCTTCTGGGCGGGAGTGCTTTGAGATGCCGGATCAATTGTGGCACTCAAATCAAATGAAGCCAGGTGAATGTCGACATCAAGGGCCCAAGTTAAGTAATTACTACCATCAAGGGCGAGCTCAGCAAATTCTCTTTTGGTGATATCAGACATCTATAATTTATTCAAAACAAGAAAATAATGTCTCAAATAATTCAATAACAAAGTTGATAGAATTAGGTTTAACCTTACACAAAACACATCACTTTAAATATTCATGTATGTGATCACTTCATATAATCATAACATAGTTGCAATTATAACAGTGTTAAAAACAAAAGTCCATTTACACGAACTGATTCTACAAACCAAACAAATCAATTGAATTCAATTACAAAGATTCTGAAACAAATAAATCATATTGAATATTTGATGAACAATTAAATATTACGTTGGAATCCAATATCACATTAAAAGGAACGAACAGGTTAAGATCAATACCACAATAAGAATTTTTTTTTTTAATCCAACATGATTTTTAATGAACATCATCATAGTTGCAGGCACAATAACAAATAATTCGCAAGCAACGTATCATAAAGTTCATGGCATATCAGTTTGTTGAAATGAATTCAAAATTGACAATACAATTACCCAACATGTATAAGGCAATTCAATTTTCAACAACCCGTGATGAAAAATCCAATTAGAATAAAAACTAAAAACAACAAAAACCAATATCCCACTTTAATTTGGTGTTAAATCCGCATCACAATTCACATGAAACAACTTGGTATTGGTAGTTCTGAAATAAGTAATTCCCATATTCATAGCTGATTCACCAATAGGCTTTATTAACAATGAACACATATTTCCACTAAAATAAAAGGCAAGCAGGGAACCTAAACAAATTGGTGAGCCTAAAAGAAAAGGGATCCCAGCATATATTAACCGCCCCAAATAGCAGACTACATACATAGGCCACTGAAATTCAATCAAATGAAATAGAAATCTTAATTGCTAAACATTAACCAAACGAATATAGAATTATTAAAAAAAAAACACTATTGACTTAAAGCAACCAAGGAAACAATAGGTTAATACATATGCGTCACAACCATGAGCCATTTTCCTAACATGCTTTATTTAAAGATTGCAACAGAATCAATCAATTAAAATTGATAGAGAAAGAAATGGCTATCACAATTCACAAGCCTCATAAACTAGCATAGGCAAATATATCTTAGTCTGTTTTTATGAATTCAGCGGAAAAGCTATGACAAGAAGAATTAACTGGAAATAAAGAAAATAGCAACCGCAGTCGCAGAAAAACCATCTAAGTTAAATTTATCCATCTCAGACTAGTAGAAAACAACAAATAGATCGAAACAATTCGATTCTCAATCAAGCATGTTAATTCACGAAGGGGATTGAAAGTACCTTGATAGAAAGACACGATTCTTTCCTAGGGCAACACCAACAAATTGTAGATTATAGCGTGCTGATAACGTGTTGTAAATTGGGATCCTCAAGCATTCATCAATCCACACCAAACAAAGTAAAGAGAAACGAGCGAGAGAACAAGAGACAGAAGAGCAGAAAAGTCTATAATTTTATTCATCCTATATCACCCTTTTATAGGGTTTACAAGTGAGAAGCCCTAAAACCTAATTTCCCTAACTAATGGACTTCAGGCCCAATTATCAATTAGTAATGTCCATATACATATATTTATAACAGTTTTTTCCAATTTGTATACGTCTTGAGGATGAATTAGGAAAAGGTCAAATGTTGAAATTTTAGTCCATACGAATTTCCTTTTCGATCTATAAACAGTTTCCAATATTTAGCTCCACGTATAGTTTGAAATTCGGCCCAATTTTGTTTATAAAATTGGGCCGATTGAACAATATATTTTTTGGGTAAATTTTACATCTACCACAGCGAATTGAGCTTAATTGCAATCATACCAGAAGTAACGAGAAAATAATTTTTTATTGCATTCTTACCTAATGAATGACATTTATTTGTTATAATGCAACATATCCGTTACCAAAATTACAAAGATTATCCTTCCTTAATGTGCGGACATAATGGGATTTAGTTTTCGCACTAAAAGAAAAAGTAAAAATACATGGTAAGTATATATCCTAATATCTAGGATATTTTTCAATTTAAAATTGATATATACGAATTATACCTGGTAATTTTCGTTTTGAAATTCTCTTTTACTTATTTTTCGTGTTATTAACATATCCTTTTTTCCTGTATATTTATATGGTATTTTCTGGTTTAATGTGATACATACAAAACAAACCTGGTATTTTTTTCTGTATATTTACAGTAAATTTCATGGTTTAATGTAATTTTTTTTTTTTTTTTNATTTTGATGAACTAATGCTGCAAAATATATACAATATATAAACATCGCATATACAGTTTTGAAAACAACTATAAAATTGTAAACTAGAGATATTGTAAGTATATTATTCATGCACATATACATAATATATTCGTATCATATACTTAATATAAATAGCCTTGAAAACAACTGTAAGTATATCATTCATGCACATATATGTAACATAATCGAGTTATATACGTAACTTATGCTTAACATAATCAAAAGTTTCGATATATCTGCTTCTTGCGTTCGTCCTCTAGTAACTCCCTGTTGGGCCCTTGGATCACGCCCGCGGCCCCTTGGCCCGATTTGAAATCCTTGCTCGGACCGGTGACGACTCTATTCGCTCTCTCCTTCACGGTGAAGGCGTTCGCCTGAACGTGGTCGCTGGTGCCGGAGCCCCGATGGGGTCTGCAACCCTATTCCGTTGTACATCGTTGGGTCTACAAAAATCAAACAAATTTCAATGATTGCGCAGATCACAAGTGAAAAAACAAGAGAGAAGGAAGGGGAAAGGATAATGGGTCGTTGAGAGAGAAAGAGAGAGAGAAGGGGGGGGTAAGTGTATTTAAAACACGTAAGAGAATAATGTGAACAAAGTCCTTCTTCCCATAAATTTAGTTAGTTAAGAAAGAAGATACGCAAGGACTCTTGCCACAATCCCGACCATGTTACCTTCTTGCCATGAGTATGTCGTCGTCGACTCCTCGACCTCGACCCTATGAGGTCTCTCTCTAATTCGAGCTCGGAGGTCTCTTCACGTCTGAGCTACACGCTCATTAGGTCTTCCGACCTCCGAGCTATTTGAGGTTGGCCCTTATTCATACCGTGCTCTTTCCCCATGTCGAGGTAACACTTCTGGCGGTCCGACCGAGCTTTCTAGATGCTATATCAAAATTGTCGGTGCAAACACCCTAATTTGTCGAAATACAGACAATATTTCATTTGCCATTTTCGTTATTTTCTAGCTATAATCTATCAACACATTAAATCATAATCCAAATAACACACCACCGCTTCAGTGGTCCTGTCAACAAAAACATACGTCGACACATCCTCTCTTAATATAATTTCTAAAACGTGTTGAGCCTAAATGGCTGCCTCGCACGCTTCGGAAGTTTACTTGACAACATTACATGCTTCGGCTTTTGGTTCGGATACATTCCCTAATTGTTTAAAATAAAATACTTAATAAATAGGATTTTTGGTTAATCTGATCCCCTCCAACTCCAAAATAAATAGGATTCTTATATGCCGTGTAAATAGGAATTTTTTTCCCTCCAACTACAAAATAAATAGGATTCTTATCTTATATGTTATGTAAATAGGATTTTTTACTTAATATTATAATAAAAATTTAGACGTAATTCACGAAATGCCAAAATAAAAAATAAAATACTATAATTTTACAAAAATAAATTGGACACATATATAGTCACTTGCATATTATATCTTTTCAATCCAACCATGGTAAATAAATTATTTAAATCTTTTTATAATATCTGTAAAAATACATTGAAATAGTTATAGAATATTACATGATCTTTCTAATATATTTTAAAGAGTTGAAATAAAAATAAAATAAATTTTGATGACCATTCTAAATATATTTCTAATCTAAATACAATTTCAAAATGTGATGAGTCTAAATGTCTAACTCGCACGCTTTGGAAGCTTACTTTGCAACATTACATGCTTCGGCTTTTGGTTCGGATAAAAATTAATATAATTATATTCCAAAATAAATAGGTTCGAACATACTATAATTTCATTTCCTAATTCTAAAATAAAATACTTAATAAATGAGATTTTTGCTTAATCCGATCCCCTCCAACTCCAAAATAAATAGGATTCTTATATGCCGTGTAAATAGGATTTTTTGCAATCCAATAATCTTTACCAAAATCAATATGACAAAAACAAATCGGATTGCTTTATATAATATATTTTGCTTAATCTGATCCCCTCCAAAATTATATTTATTATTAAATTAAATGAATAAAGTGTAATTTTTCTCTACATTATTTAAATCACCATCCCCCTTCCGATTCCCCTTCATCTCGATTATTCATTTTACAAAAATTAAATTTAAGTAGGAGAGACTTGAAAATTCTGTGTTGCGATAAGGATGTAGAAATTGTAAATAAAACTACTAATGTTGTGTACAAAGAAATTTTTCAAAATGTGAAATAGTATCGACTTTGGTATTTTCTATTTTTGCACTTTTATAAAACAATATGTGTTTTTTCTATTATTTTATATTTTATATTTTTTTTCAAACAACCCGTATAGTACACGGGTGTCGTACTAGTATATTATTAAAATTGTAGTAATGTAGACAATGATGTCACATTTTAAGAAATTAAATGCTAACAAAATAAACAGTGTAAAATTGTTTAACTACATATAAATCACTACATTGACTGCACAAAAAAGATTAATTTATTTTTCACGATTTTGATGGATCATTACTAATTAATTATGAGAAAAATATTAAAATTATTATTACAAGAATTATTTATGCGATTTTAAGATGTTTGACTATTTTATTAAAACTATTTTTTAAATGGCATTACGAGAAAAAAATAAAGATAATATTTATTTTAAAATAAATAACTTAAATAAAAAATATAATATAACTTTTATGCTTATATAACTTCGATATATCATTTACCGCGAAATATAATTAGTCAGTTTTAAGAGTAAGTATTATATGATAGATTATAATTATTACTACTAATGTAAAATGTTACAGCGTTTTACCATTACTAAAAAAAGAGTTGAAAACAACAAAATTTAACATTAATGCGATAGTCACTATTTATAAATATATATATATATATAGAGAAGGGATCATATGAGAAAGGGAGATAGTGAAAGAAATAAGAATGAATATCTGCTGTTGGATCAATGATATCAATGGACATGATGAAGTCAAACATTAATAAATCTGGTCAAAACGCGATGGCATATTGTAAATATTTGTATATTTCATGGCCAAGTGTACACCCCAAAGGGCACTTCTGTATTTTCGTTTCACCATAATTCAGTGGGCCCCACGACTCATTAACCATTCCCCTCCCCTCTCTCATACACACAAATACACACAATCTGTTTCTTTTTCACTCACGCACGCACGCACACAGTTCACACACACATACACAGAGTTCACACACACACACACACACACACACAGAGACACGGCGGCACCACAGCACACAGCCACCTCCCGCCGCCTCCGACCACACCCAGCGCCGCCTCGCCATCGCCGGATCTCGCCTCGCCCTCGCCAGATCTTCACAGCGCCACCATCATCGGCCACTTCGATCTCAACAACCACGTCCGATGGCGAGCTCGCCGGCGACCATGACGACAGCGGCCGCACTCCGCTGCAACAGGCGTTCATCGGTGTCCGACGTCGTCGTCGGTAGCATCTCCTTTTTCGGCGGGGGTGATTGTGTGGTGGCCGACGGAAGGCGACGGCGGCGATGGCGAACGGCAAAGGTTCACCGGCGCCAGAGAAGATCCGTGTGTTGCAGACGAGTTGCAGAAGAAGATGAGTCGGGAATAGTAGAGAGACGGTGACGGCGACCTGAACGGGACGAGCTCGCCGGAGATCTGAACGGGAGATAGGAGGCGGCGGCCGGAAACGCCTTGGGGGCTGAGGAATTGCATCATGATTATGGTTGATTTTGATTTAGGTGAATTTTCATTCTGATTGTGAACAATTTTCGGTGAATTGTAGGTGAATTTTCATTCTGATTCTGTGAAGTGTGAACAACCAATTTTAGGTGAATTGTGGGTGAATTTTCATTCTGATTCTGGGAACAATGTTCGGTGAATTGGCAGGGGAAGTTAAATGCAATTTTGGTTGATTTGGGTGAAAATTGATTTAGGGGTTAGTTTTATGTAAATTAGGTTAATGTTAGGGACTTTTTGTAATTTTTGTAAAACTTTAATTATAACATAAATTAATTAGTGATATAAATATTAATACTAAATTATTAAGAATTTAATAAATACAAAGATAGTGTTACGAAATTTTTAAAACCTAAAAAAAATGATATTTTACCAAAATACTTGACATATAAAATAATAATAATAATAATAATAATAATAATAATAACAATAATAACAATAATAACAACAATAATAGAGTAAAAATATAAAAATTCGTAGTGAATTTCTGTTCGTTTGATATCATTCGTTTTTGTGCAATGTAATAGACAGTTGTGTGCAATCTGTATAACCTTAAAGTGCAATCGCAATACATAAAAATATATAGATAAAAAATAGTATTAATTATAATAAAAAGTATAAATAAATAAATAATTGGTAATATTTTTTCGTATATTTCGACGTGTGCGGTTATTTTGTTTATTAAAAAAAAAACTAATTCTGACATTAACCAACTAATATTATTTGATCGATTATTAAAATTACTGTAATTTTGATACGTGCGACGTGTTGTATTATAAGGTGCAACATATTGTTGTATAAAGTGCAGTTTATTGATATCTAAAGTGCAATACTGATATTATAGTATGTTATCACGAATGTGTTTATTTATTTATTTATTTTTTTAAATATAATGTGACGGATAGTAAAGTATTTTGTTGCTCCACTTTTTATATTCATATTGCGTAATATTTTGGCGTGATTGTTGACATTAATTGTGGAGTGTGTTTATAAAGTGCAACGTGTTATATTATAAAGTGCGATATTTTTTATTATAAAGTGCAACATTCTGTTATATAAAGTGCAATGATTTATACCTTTCTATATAAATTACGTGTATTCGAATTTCTTTTAATATATATAATTGTACATCGAATTAAGCTAAATAAATAAAATATTTTTTTATTTATTAGTTTTATCATATAATTTATTTATTATTATATATTATTTTTATATTATTATGATATTTTTATATTACTTTATTTAATATTTTATTTATTAATTAATTTGTGCATAACAATAGGTAAAGAAATAGTTTTTTATTCACTTTCAGTATTTACAAATCTGACCCATGGTATTAAATTGAAATAAATTTAAATTCATAAAATTGCAATCAAGTCATTCGAAATTATCTAATTCTCAAAAAGTTTCCCCATCCCCTCACGTTTGTATTTCTCTTCCATTCACCCCCGCCGTCAGCCTTCTCCGTCCGGTGATGGTCGGCGTCGCCAATTTCAGTGGTCATTGACGTCCGACCTGTAAGTCGGCAGAATCGGCCGCTTTCCGGCGACGTCCCCTGATTTTTTTTTCTTACAAGATCCGCCATTGAAGCTCGACGGTCGATTTTTCCAGCGCCACTACATCTGACTCGACTAGGTGGTGTAAGAATTATGAAGATGATGGCAGCCGGTTGTTGGTGTGTGACCGAGTTTGGCGGTGGAGGATGATGTAGGAGACAACAACTTAAACGGCGGCGATCCGGAGCTCCACCGCCTCCGGCAGCGGATTTACTTGTGGACGTGTGGCGGCGATAGTCGGGGCGACGACGGGAGGCCTACCGGCGGGGAAACAGTGGAGGCGCTGCCGTGATTGCGGTCGTGGCCGGCGGAAGACGGTGGCGGGAGGCGTTGAATGGCGGCGTGTGTGTGTTTCTCAATTCTTCCTGTGTGTATCTGTGTATGTATATGTGTGTGTAGTGTGTGTGTGTGTGTAGGGTAGATGTGTTAATTGTGAGAGAGAGAAGCTTGGGACCCGTGTGTAGTATGTGTGCTGTGTGGGAGAGAGAATGAGTGGGTAGATTTGAATTGATTAGATGAGGTGGGCCCTACAGTTTGTTGGGTTAAAAATTCTATATTGCCCTTAATGAGTTTAAAATGTAGGAATTTTTTTAGTTGTTGGATCAATCGATCCGATGGCTAAAATTTATTCCTATTTCTCGCATTAAGAGTCATTCTCACCGGAGCGTGACCCTATATATATATATGTGTGTGGAATTTGGATCATATGAGAAAGGGAGTTGGTGTAAGAAATAAGAATGATTTTGGACTATTGGATCCAACATACCAATGGTCATGATCAAGTCAAATATTAAATATTGTAGTCAAACTTGCAATGGCAGTTTTGTAAATAAGAGTTCAATTAGGAGTCAAATGTATAAAATTGACCATTAAGGAAGGACACATTGGTCATTAAACAATCACCCTCATCCACACCACGTGGGCCCACCACTACCAAACCCTCCACTCTCTCTCACACACTCACACACACAAGTTCACCGGCCACAGTACACACAACCTGCTCCAACACAAGATGCACACACACACACACACACAGCAGTAGCCCCGCCGGCGACCTGAGCCTTGTCGATCCAGATGATGCCGACGTCATCCCCGCCGTAGCCCCGCCGTTCCGGTCGCATCGTCACCATGATGGGCGCCGTCGGGAAATGGACCCATCCCCGCCATAACCCCGCCGTGCAGTCACCGCCCTTCTCCGTTCGCCATCCCTCGCCGCCCGTAGCCGTAACATTCAAGTTTATCCATAGGTCCGGCCGTGCGCCTTCCGGCGCCATCCGCCACCAATCGCCGGCCGCCGCCTCAGAGTTCAACATTTTTCAGAGACGCGACCGTCCGGCGAAGCTCAGCCATCCGACAAGATAGACCCTCCGTCAGCCCAATCCTCAGTCATCCCCGTCGTCGTCCGCCCAAAACTCTGGCCATCCGGCAAGATAGACCCGACGTCGCTTGGATGGACGAGCTCGCCGGAGACGATGCCGGCGGCTGCACGCTGGCACATGGCGGCGAGGGGTGTCGGGCGTGGTGTGTGTATTGTGTGTGTGTGCGCGGGGACTTTTTCTTTGTTTTTTCTTTTTCTTTTTTTTCTTTGTGGGGACTTGTTGTTCAAAATTAGACAATTTGGAGGGACTTTAGTGCAATTATAAACTTAGACTATATTGAATTTTAATAGGTGGGGCGATTTTGTAATTTATCAAAAGTTCAATCTATTGCACATTAATAACACATGAGTTGCACAATATTGTATATTTTCAAGCACATTATAAATCCTATTATATTTTTCTTAAAAATACATAATTATTAAAAATACTTTTTTTATTATTTTTTGTTGAAAAAGCCATATGAAATATCGGATTTGACAATACGCGTTCTCACATATAATTATTATTTGCATTTTAGTATAAGCTTATTGTGTAGTTTATTGAGTGGGGTATGTTTTATGTGTTTTTCAATTTTGAAAAAATTTAAAGTGCAATTAGACGAACATTAAAGTGCAATTAGTATAACACAATTGTGCAATGTTTCACCCGCTATTGTGCAGTGTGAACAGATCAAACTTTCTTCCCAACCAAATTGAAACCGAACACTATTGTGTATTTCATTTAAAAATATATATATAATGTATTTTAATTAACAGTATTGTACATTTATTAAATTATTTATATAATAAAATGTTATTTAGGAATTATATTTAGTTATTTAATACTTTATATTATTGATTTTTTAAATAAATAATATATATACAGGTATAATATACAAATAACATTTTTTATATAATTCAATCAGTTATGTTATTTTGCTTTTTTGTATTTTTTTTCTTTAAATGAAATTGAAACTATTGTGCAATCGGACGAACATTAAAGTGCAATTTGTATAACACTATTGTGCAATGTTTCGCCGCTATTGTGCAGTGTGAACGGATCAAACTTTCGTCCAAATCAAATTGAAACCGAACACTATTGCATTTCATTTAAAAAAAAATAAAATATATATATATATATACAATGTATTTTAATTAACATTATTGTGCATTTATAAAATTATTTATATAAAAAAATTTTATTTTGTAATTATATTTAGTTATTTAATATTTTATGTTATTGATTTTTCAATTAAATAATATATATACATGTATAATATACACATAATATTTTTTATATAATTCAATAAGTTATGTTATTTTGCTTTTTTGTATTTTTTTCTGTAAATAAAACCGAACCGCTTATATAAAGTATGAAAAAATGCTGGTCTCTGTACTGAAATAACATAAATTATAATAATTGCGAAAATGAACACACTGTTATGCTAACGTGCGCTCTCAAGCTCCTTAATGTGCATTCATTCTAACATTAATGTGCAGCCTGAAATTCACTAAGGTGCATTTTGCAGTGAGAGTTTTTTATGCGCAAATCTAATATAAAACCGATCCCGGAAAGTAGTTTAATCGATTAGTCAAATGAATTTACCTAAATATTTGAAATACTTTATTGTTTATATTATACACAATTTATAATTTTATATTTTGTATTATTTTTATTCAATATATTTATTAGTTACTTTAATATAAATGTATAGAAGCTATTAAACAATAATATTTATTTATGAATTCTTATAAATTATAGATTTAGTCCACATACTAAATTGAAATATATTTAAAATTCTTAAATTTCAATCAAGTCCCTATCACTAATCAAATTTATTAAAAAGAAACAATCCCAATTGGGAATTCCCAATTTCTGAATGCCCGCACATCTCTGTCTTCTGCAGGTGGAGAAAATCATCGGCGGCCTCGGAAATTGGTGAAATCCAATTCGGCGGAGATTGGGGATCTCCAATTCGGCGGAGATTAGGGAATTCCGATTCGGCGTGTTCGTTTGTGTATATGTGTGTGTTTCATTGGGTGTTCAGGCGTGTGTGTTCGTGTGTGTGTGGCGGTGTATGGTGGTATGCGGTGGCTAACGGCGGTTGCTGAGGCTGCAACGATGTCTGAATTCCGGCTGTAACGGCGCTGCCGGTTGGATCGGGGGGATGGGTGGTCAGACTGTGTGTGTATGTGTCTGCTGTGTGTGGTCACATGTGTCTGTGTGTGATGCCGTGTCTTTGCCGGCAGCATCTGGACGGCGGTGATCTGCTGTCTGGAGCGGCTGCGTGCGTGTGTGTGCAGGTGCGGGTGTGTGCGTGTTTTGTGTGCAGGTGTGGTGTGTGTGCGTCGTCGTCCTGCCCGGAACAATCCTCCGCGATGCCGGCCGTGAGGACATCTCCGACGCCGCCGGTGTGACATATGTCGACCGTCAGGTGCAGGCGCCGCCGTGTGTCTCGCCGGAGGAGACGAACTTCTCGTCGAATTTGAGCGGCGGGGGTCGGTGGATAAAGAAGGGCGGCGCCGGCACTGGCGTTCTCAACCGTCGGCGAGCGGCGACGGCGGCCGGATCGATAGGTGCGGCGGTGCTGTGAAGAATGGCCGGTGGCGTGCGCCTTTCTAGCCTTCTGTGTGTGTTCGTGTGTGTGTGTGTTTGTGTGAGAGAGAGAGAGAGGTGTGTGCAGAGTGTGTGTGTGTGTTTGTGTGTGCTGATGTGTGCGTGTGCGTGTGCTGTGTATGTTTGTGCGTGTGTTACGTGTGTGTTAGGTGTGTGGATGATGATGTGGCATGGTGATGTGGCTTGTGATGTGTAATTGTAATGTCTAAATTACCCTTAATGAATATATGATTTTGACTTTTTTTTAGTCATTAGATCATCCGATTTAATGGCTAAGATTCATTCTTATTTCTCACACGAAATACCATTCTCACCGGAGCGCGACCCTATGTGTGTGTATATATATAGATATATTTATATTAATATTAAATGTATAAACTAGTGACTATATTTATAATAATCTTATAAACCTATTTTTATTCGTCATAAATAGAGTATATTTCAGTGATACAAATGAATTTTATCATTTATATCTATTAAATGAAAAATTCATTATAAAATATAAAATTTTTAGGACAACAAACACTTTTCGATGACAAATAAACCTTATCATTAATCAATATTAAATTCTGACAAATGTCGTCATACAATATGTAATTCTGTGATAAAAACTAACACCATCATAAATAGTACTCCCTCTTATTTTAAATATTTGTCATCCTGGCTATTAACACGCTAATTAAGAAATATTTTTCTTTCCAAGTTTAACCCTATTTAATAACACAATTGTGGATGGATGTTCTTGGGAATATGAAGAGACAATGGGTATTGATGGGGGGGGTTAAAAGGGAAAAATATGAACAAAATAGCCAAAACGACATTTATTTAACAAATGATCAATTAAGCTAGAATGACAAATATTAAAAATAGGAGAGAGTATATTTTTTAGTCGCAAAAATAATTTTTTTCATTATTAATTATTAAATTATGACGAATTCGTCAATGTATAAATATGTACATTTGTGATGAAACTTAAGAGTGCCTTTATTGAAGTAATTTTTAGCGACAACAATTAATTGTCATAGACAACTATGAAATTGTGACAAAACATCACTTACATAAAAAATATTTGTCATAAAATATGGAATTTAGTGACAAAAATAAATAAAATCATAAATAGAATATTTTTCAACTATGAAAGTAAATTTTTAATTATTACACAATATGAGACAAATTATTCTTCTGTCACACAAAAAAATTGTCATAAAAAGTGTGCTTTAGTGACAAAAATAAATGTTATCATAAAAAAAAATTACTTGGGACAAAAATATAATTGACAATTTTCACTTAATAAATTATGGCAAAATTTAGTTCGTGGCAAAAAAATAGTCATAAAATATAGAATTTCTTATAGTGTTTAGACAAACTTAGTTGATTTAATAAAAAATCTGATATATTAAGAAGTATACCAATAAGCATTAAGTCAATAGCTGATAGAGATTAGGAAAGTAAATCATGAGAAGGAGCAAGAATGGAATAAAATATCTATTGCACAAATCAAGGGATTGACTGGAATCATGAGATCCTACTTGGCATGGAAGGCTATCAATTTGTTATCATATTTCTTCTTTATAATTATTACCATAAATAAATAATAAGCTTATAAAAGGGTTGTGAGGAAGTGATGATTAGGTATTGAGAGAAATACTATTGTTTATCGGCCTTTTAGCTTGGGCGGGATTATTTCCCGAGGAGAACTTCGTTCTTGGAGAACCTTGTGTTCTTTTTCTTTTGTTTTTTAATTAATAATATTCAGTTTCTTTTACATTGGCCCTTTACTCCTATCAATTGGTCCGACCTGCCACTACGAATGATGCATATTGAATCTCGTGTTGAAGCCTTGGAGAAGGGTCAGGAGGTGCTTGAGTGTCGCCTCACTAATGTCGAGGACGCCATCACCAAACTTACAGAGTTGGTCACACGAGTTTTATCAGTCAAGCACAACAATCTAGCCACCTCCCAAGTGAATCATGTCAACAACTTGTCTAATATGGATTCCACATCCTCAGTTATTGTGAATCGTGTTGAAATTTTAAAATTGGAGAATGGCAGCAAATCCAAATCCACTGTCTCCACTACCTCTGTACCACTAGTTTTGGTGCAATCGGTTTCAGAGCCTCATGAGACTGCCAAGGTGCCCATTCCCCGTTTGGATCTATGCTCTCTTAATGAAGATTTTCTCATTGATGAGCAGTACCCTAACATTTCTCACACACTCAAGGCTATCAAATTCATGACAAATGTCTTCTCTTCTCCAACGCAAACGGAGGACTCAAAGCATATAATGCTCTATTCCAGTCTGCATGATGAGACTCGTGGCCCCTACGCAATAATCAATGGTGTTCTTTTTTACAAGGGTCGTCTAGTTTTACCGTTTACTGGACAAAGTTTTTTTCTTTGCAGCCTTGAGGACAAGGCTGTTTTCTGGCGGGCGGCAATGATAGAGATTAGGAAAGTAAATCATGAGAAGGAGCAAGAATGGAATAAAATATCTATTGCACAAATCAAGGGATTGACTGGAATCATGAGATCCTACTTGGCATGGAAGGCTATCAATTTGTTATCATATTTCTTCTTTATAATTATTACCATAAATAAATAATAAGCTTATAAAAGGGTTGTGAGGAAGTGATGATTAGGTATTGAGAGAAATAATATTGTTTATCGGCCTTTTAGCTTGGGCGGGATTATTTCCCGAGGAGAACTTCGTGTTCTTGGAGAACCTTGTGTTCTTTTTCTTTTGTTTTTTAATTAATAATATTCAGTTTCTTTTACATTGGCCCTTTACTCCTATCAATAGCTCAGACAACCAACACAAGAAATCATCATAAAATATCCAGTAAATAAAACTTGACACTATGTTTTTTGTTAGAACAGACTTCCATAACCACTTCAAATCTACTGCAATTGATCAAATCCTACTAAGTACCAATTTACAGTTGAATTACAATCCCTCCATTTTCTTTTACCTCACTCCCTACGAAATCGAATGCCTTCTGTGCCTCGAACACGATCCAGAAGACTTTACCTGCCCTTGTTGGACCATTGATGCTGGGCTCTGTGAACTAGCAAAAGTCTCTGAACTCTTGTTCTCACCATTCCCAAAACCTTTCCCCACTATCCACAGCTTTTCGAATATTCTCCTCGAACGAGATGGCAGTAGCTGGGGCTCGGATCCCCTGCTTTTCCCACCTCTCTTTGCATGTTTTCCATTTTCAACCAATTGTTCGTCTTCTTTTATCTTCATATCGTCCAATTGCATTCTGAGTGACTTGCGCATATCTGTTGGGCCTGTTTTGGCCCAATTTTCGCGACTCTGTTTAGGGGAACTAGTGTTGTTAGCTGAAGCCTTTGCCTGCTCGAAAAATAGTACTTGGACTACTACGCGAAGTGGTAATTGTTCGTTTTGAGCTGCGTGCATGCATCCTTCGGACGTTAGTTTCTTGACGTCCATCAAACCGCACAATGTTTTCCTTTCGGCTTTCGGTAAATTTGCGTGCCCCTGAGGGAGAAAGTAATATATGGGTAATGTTTCAAAATCGTTCATTATTATTATTATTATTATTATTATTATTATTATTATTATTAATTCATATT